GGAAAAACAATAATTACATAGGCACAGCGAATGGCTCGACCCCCAGTCGAACGGGGATCTTCTGAAGAAGAACCAGGTCATACATACTTATCTAGTGCAGAGGCGAACCGTCCGTCATCGAGATGTTCTAAGTAGTGGTGGGTATCTCCCTAGGCTCGTCGTCCCGGTCGCGGGTCGGCGTTGGGTGAAATAAATTGAGCGTAGGACAAATGGGTTGAGCACTGGAGGGGGCTGTTCCGCAAGTAAATGCAGAAGAATCAGGTGTATCTGCCAGAAAGAGAGATCAGAATAAGAAAAGTCGACAGAGACGACAATATGGCTCGACCCCGAGTCGAACGGGGATTTTCTGCAGCAGATTTCGTAAAGCCAAATACCTCCATACAAGTGCAGAGGTGGACCGTCCGCTATCGAGCCGTTCTAAGTCCTGCGGTGTACCCCGTTAGGTCCGTCGAACGTGAAATCAGTTGCATGAGCCTGTCATGCGCAGAGGGAGCGGGATTGACGTGCGGAGGAAGGCGGGGTAAGAATCGAAATGCAGGGGGGAAATCAGCATCTCCAACGAATATGGCTCGACCCCGAGTCGCGCACGGAGCATGGGGGCAGGACGGAGGTGGGCGGTCAGCGGCATATTAACGAAGAGGTAATATATTGACGCCGCAGCTTTCTACACCTCTATCATTTTCATCTGCATCTCCGCAGCACTCCTTCACGGAGCTCAGCATCAGACGCCGCGGCAGAGGAATAAGCGGACGCACCCTCCTCCGTCTCTGTTCAGTTCTCGGAGCAGTGCATCAGGGTGCAGCGAAGTTAAGTTCCATAGCGATGAGACTGGAAAAGGAGAGGGAGGAGGGGGACGGCTTACTGGACTGTGGGTACGAGGGAGTGCGATAGCGATAACGGAGGGGGACCGCGGGCACACGGGCTCGGAGTGAAGAAGAACGCACATCCTCGGATCCTCCTCCTCCTCCTTGGGCTCCTCGATGGTGTGCTCAGCAGAGACCTCGGGCGCGGCGGGCTTCTCCTCGGCGGCGTCGGCGTGCGTGGCGGACAAGAGCGACGAGATGAACGAGCCGAGTCCCAACATAGTCAGCTGCGCGGCGAGTCTTCTGCTGGACGTTGACAGCCGATGTGGCCCCTACGGAGGAGTGAAGAGGGGAGGAAGGGAAGGAATACGCACTCTCCATCCTTATATCCCTCATAGCCCGCGCTCCTGCTCGTGTATACGCCCACTTCTAACCAGCGCCCCGCAGGCCGCGTTGAAAACGTCCTCCATGATGCGCCGCGTGCGCCCGGCTAACGAGTGCGTGGGGCAATTCCGTTGATACTCGCGTCGGGGCGCTGTGGCCTGTGTATGACATAGCAAGATGGTGGGGCGATAAGAGCGGCGACGGAGGAGGGAGGTGGAGGCGCGACAGGAAGGAAGGGCGCGTGGGACAGGACTCGAGGAGGGGACGAGATATGCTACCTCGAGGATCGAAGGGAGCTCGCGGAAGGCGAGAATGGCTAGGAAGCAAATCCACGGAGGAGACGTACGGTTCGCGCTCGTACTCGCGGACGACTCCGATATCTTGACCGTACTAACTTCACCACCAGTGATTTGGCTAGCGCGCATTGGGCGAGACTTTGAAAATCCAACGCAGAACAACAGACGTGAGACAATGTCAGAATTGGGAAAGACAGCGAAAAACGTACAAACTCGGAGGACTCACAGCTCCCCACCGAATCGCCACCCGCTGTGGTTTATATCGCCAGATTTTGGCCAGATTCAATTCCACACGGTGGATGTCTTGATTCTTGCGCCGGAGCCATGTCTCACCCAGCGGCGTATTTGAGAGGAAGTCTAGTTGTGAGCGTCGTCGTTGCGGAAATTCAAGAGAGGCGGTGATGGCTGTGCACGGGAATCACCGACATCATTATGTTTGGCTCGGTCCGACGCGGGCCGGGAATTGCTTTTTCACCAGTCTCAAGCACATAAGATTGGGCCGAAATGCTCACCACGCACGCGCTGCTCTGAAAACTTCGAATTTTCTCCTGTCTGAGTCTCGACGTGCCCAATAGATTTCCATCATGACGGCCTGTTTGGACTCCCTGCGGATTCAAGCTACCAATTGGAATGTATCGCCCAAGATTGTCTCGGATCTACTTTTAACCTTAAAGGAGCTCCGTAGTACCAATGACCTGATATCGTCGGGCCCGGGCCCGAGCTCGAGTTCGCGTCAAGCTGTGCTCGGCCAAACCGGCCCAAGTAACACCTAAATTAGAACCAAAAAATCAAGCTCGCTCGTCAATTAAAGTATAGAGGAACGACACCCTTACCAACAATCAATTCATCTGCAGTTGAAAGTGCTGTGCAAGAACAACAGAGGAGATAATAGCGAGAATTATAAGATCGGCCCCGTCGTGAGTCTTCTGCCCAGGACATGTCCGCCTACATGTGCGCCAACAGCCCACCAGATTCGACAATTCCATGGCTCATGCCGGCCAAGAGAACCTATCTCGCCTGTCTCAACTGCCGCGGACGAAAGATCAAGGTGAGCCGATTTAACTGGGCGGGGGATCCCTTTTGATTGAGAACTCGTCAGTGTATTTCAGCCGACGAAACCAAGCCTTGTGCGCGCTGCGCCGCAAAGAGCCTCGTGTGCGAATACATGGCTGTCTCTGAAGAACAAGCCAGGTCTCTCTCCCCAACTCAAGGGCGACGAGGATCAGCCTGGAATGCCCCTCCGCGCTCAACACCGACTCCCAGGCCGTACACGCCCCAGTCCCCTCAAAGATACATTGCATCGACGAAGGCGAGCGCACCAAGTTATGCGCCCACCTATTACCAAGAATATAACCCATCGCAGTTTGGTAGCCCGACACCGATATACCACGGAGACCGCCTTCCACGACAGCCACAGCTTCCTGCAAGCGGGTCGAGGGATCTATACAACTACGAGGGAAACCAGCCTCCACTTCCACTCTCGCCTCCACTACAGTTCACTGCCAGCTGCGGCGAAAGGCGGGGTGGGCGATCTCACACTGCCCATGGCCCTTCGCATGCGAGCTCGGGTTTTACAAGTCAGCAACCTCGTTCATCAGGCCATCCCTCGGATTATGACCGATACTTCGCCAACTTCGGCCTCCCTCCATCGTACGACCCAGAGATATATCGGGTGTGAGTGATGTGCTGGATTGTGGGTTTGGGGATGCCACCCGACACGATACGTCCCAAGATTCAACCTCACCGCCGAGGTACCCGAGATCCCCGAGATCCCCGAGACGCCCGACAGCTTCCCGTACGCCAAACTGAGGATCGCGGAGCGCATGTTGTACACGGAAACCCATAACACTACTGCTCTTAAACAGACCTATGTAACTATAAGCGTCCCTGGATATCTCTGGACCTCGTTACCTGAGTGATGATTTATTTGGTTCGACCACAGTTGCATAAGACTCCGGGCGAGTGAAGTCAACTCCTGTTACATTTAAATCAAGGGACTCGCCCAAGATATATGTTTGGGTCGTACGATGGATGAATTCCGAAGTTGGCGGAGTAGAAAAAAGCTGTAGCTCGGTGGGACCTATGTGTTATCAAGACTATGCCTTATTAAGAATTCTGGGGTAAGCCGATATCAAGTGGGGACGGTCCCCCGCTAGGTTCGTCAGGTAATTGTGGTTAGATGCTGGGGAGATCAACCGAGTGCTCCAAGCGAAATTAGTTGAACGCAAGACAGGTAGCGCAGAAGGATCAAACAACGAGGCGGAAAAAATCAAACACAGAGCCGTTAGGTCTGTCGGCGTGAGTCCCTAGCTAAGCATCGAAATGATCCCCCACCTTATCAAGTATGATGAATGAGACGAAGAGGATCGGGCAAAGGAAGGGGATCCAGGTCAAACAAGGCTCGATCCCGAGTTGAACGGGGAGCACTTTGCGTTCAACTCATGTAGACCACACGTGGAACCGCCGCTATCGAGCTGTTCTGAATCCTGAGATGTGCCCCGCTAGGTTTCTCGTCCATGGTGGTTGCGGTTCCGGCGCTGGGGTGATAAATCGAGCGCTTGGGGATGAAGAGTTTGGGCGCGCGAGGATGGGGGCTGTTCCGTGAGCAAGCACTTGCCACTAGTGCGAGGCAGGTAGGTATGTACAGTAGGCAGTCGGTATTATTACACGAGGAATCGATTTTTAGTCAGAGGAATGAGAATAAAAAAAATATAATACGCTTCAGGATCCCGATGGCTCGACCCCGAGTCGAACGGGGCTCTTCTGTAGTACCTGTCAACGTGATCACACATGTAGTGCAGATGCGGACCGTCCACCGTCGAACCGTTCTGAGTCCTGCGGTGTACCTCCTTACTTGGCTGCAGACGAGTCGAAAGCGAGAGAATTGAGTTGCGGAGGGAAAGAGGGGTCGGGATAAAAATGTAGGAGAAAGATGGCGTGCCCAGAGACATTATGGCTCGACCCCGAGAAGTGTATCAGCCTCAAGCTCTTAAGGCGAAGTGATCAAAGTAAAAATGCAAGAGAAGAAAGCCGTGATGAAACTGTGGCATGGCTCGACCCCTCCCTGCTGCGAATTGGCTTAGACTATCTCCTATCATCCGACGGAGTCCGGGTCCACTGGGGATTGTACCTCACTAAATTAATCGTGATGATTGCGGCTCGGGTTTGCGGAGATAAATCAAACACTCGACCAAACCGAGGCCCGTAAATTGATGTGGGCCTGTCCAGGTGGAAGGATGAGAGAAAACGGTGACGTGGGCACAGAGGATGGCTCAACCCCGAGTCGAACGGGCGTCCTAGCCTACGCAGGCGCAGGCGCGGACCTCGGCTATCGAGCTGTTCCGAGTCCTGAGGTGTACCTCGTTAGATCCCTCGGATCGGGGGCGTGCTGGAGCTGAAGTACCAAAGATCGCTTGATCGATGGACGTCCGGCTTGTTCCGTGAAGAAGTACTAGTGCGAGGAATTGATTGTTCGCCGGAGGAACCAGGATCAAAAGAGAGTCTTGTTTGACGATCATGGCTCGACCCCGAGTCGAACGGAAATCTTCTGCTGATGAGACATTCAATCATATACATATATGTGGTGCAGACGCGGACCGTCCGCCATCGAGCCGATATTCAGTGGGGAGCATATCTCGCTAGGTTCGTCGTCTTGGTTGCGCTGCAGATCATCACTCATCAGCCATATTCGATGCACCCTTCACTACCGAGCCGGTGGGTAGGGGGGACGGGGCTTCGATATCCGAGGGCGGCGGGCGTCGATAGTAGGTCTAAGGACAACTCCACACTTGGACCCGATTTGGGTATGCATGATAGCGCGCGATTCTCTGCGTGGGTTCACGACTTAAAAGAAGACGGGCGAGGCGTCTCATCTGCGGCGGCGTGATGGGAGGTGAGTGGACGTTCGGCATGCGCAGTGGCAGTGTGGGCAGGGCGGTGTCGGTGCTGCTCAGCACATCCGTGCAGATGATCGATACCCAATATCAGGAAGGGCGCCGGAGGGAGGGGATGGGGATGGGGATCAAGCAAGCCAGCACGGGAGAGGCGTGGCGTCCAGCGCGCAGCACGAAGGGAGCGGCACGGGAGTCGGGCAAGCGACGGCGACAGCCTGGTATCATCAAAGAAGAAGGGATATATTGCACGCCACAGCTATACGTCTACCACCTGCATCTGCGCAGCACTCGTTCGCATAGCGTCAGCGTTAAGGCGTCGCGGCAGAATAATAAACGGACGCACCTGCTCTGATCTGTAGTTATGGGGAGGGGGAGGGACCTTGGTGAAGAGCTGCGGCGCGGCGCAAGCCTCAGAGCAGTGCATCAGGCGGCAGGTAATTTGGCTTCGCGACGAGGATGAGACGGCGCAGGGGCGCGGCTTATTGGACTGTGGACAAAAGAACGAGAAGGACGGCGCGATAGTGATAGCGGGGCGGTCAGCGAGTGCAAACGCAGGCGATCATGGGTAGGGCTTGCACCTGCGTCGAAAAGTAAGAGTAAGCAGGGCAGCGGGTGGAGGGAGAGGGGTACGCACAGTTCTTTGACACACTCCTTGCCCTTGAAGCCCTCGCCGACCTGCACCTTCCCTTGACACTTTTCAAAGTGGTGCCTCATCGGCGCGCACTCGCACTCTGCGCGGATCACGGGGCGCGCCTGGCACACACATTCGCGTCAGTACGAACTCTCGCTCTCGCTCTCGTGGTGAGGAACAACGCACATGCTCGGGATCCTCTTGTTTCTCCTCCGCCTCTTCCTCCTTCGGCTCCTCGCTGGCGCATGGGGCGCGGCGGGGGGCAGGCTTCTCCTTAGCGTCGGCGTGCATGGTGGGGAAGAGCAACGAGATGAACAAGCCGATTCCCAACCTTTGGATGTGTCCATCAAGTCAGGCTGCGCGGAGAGTCTTCTGCTGGACGTCGACAGCCGATGTGGCACCTACGGAGAACGGCAGCAGGCGCGTTGATGAGTGAAAAAGGGAGGGGGGGAAGGGATACACACTCTCCTTCCTTCCATCCCTCGCTGCCCGCGCTCCTGCCCGTATATACGTCCAATTCCAACTAGCGTCCCGCAGCTCGCGCCGAAGAGGTCCTCCATGATGCGCCGCGCGCGCCGGTCTAATGAGTGCGTGGGGCGATGTCGTTGATGCTCGCGTCGGGGCGCGGTGGCCTGCGGAGGGCGTAGAAGGAAGGTGGGGAGATAAGAGCGGCGACGCAGGAGGGGGCTGGATGTGCGGAAGGAGGGAAGGGCGGTGGGTCAGGACTCGAGGAGGGCGATACCTCGAAGATCGAAAGGAGCTCGCGGGTTAGGAAGCAAAGCCTGGAGCGTAACTTGCCCGGTTAACCAGTGATTCGGCTAGCGCGGATCGGCTGAGACTTTGAACCTCCGACGCAGAATAACGGACCTGCGACAGCGTCAGAATTGGGCAAGACAGCGAAAAACGTACGGAGAACATTCAATTCTACATGGCGGATGTTTTAGTTCTTGCGCCAGAGCGATGTTGCACTCCAGCAGCGTATTTGAGAGATGAAGAAGCCTGGTTCAACTTTGTAGTTGTGGTCGTCGTCGTTTCGGGAAGAGAGCTCAAGCGGTAGACCGGTAACCGATCTCTCGTACGAAGACAAATCGTTCGTAGAGAGACCGGTCGATCTGAGTTTAAATTCGGATGACGAGCGAACGTCATCGTGTAGATCACGTGTAGTGCCCATCAACCTGCCCTAAACTCTTCGAAATGGGAGTCGGATGCAAGGCTGGTCACGTGCGGCGTCGCGCGTTTAAGCGGGACCAACCGTATCAAAGGGCTTCCCTCAGGTTTCCAAAACCTCGTCGGGAAGATCATCCCTGCTTTATTTTTCGATTACATCATGATTTATACAGATCATATCGGAGATGGGCGTTGAATATCCGCCGATTCCACGCATTTTACTTTGAAACTCTATCCCGCGAAAGTATGGCAACAATCTTGTGACCTAGTCTAGTGTTTACCGCGGGCTTGTGTATGTAGTGCGCTGTTATTACATAATCTTAGGTAACCATTTTCCGAGTCGCGTCCCATTGCACGGGAAACGTAATGTTCAGTGAGACTTGAAGATTTATGGGGCTTTATTATCTATGACTACCTTTCTGACAATTCAGAATGTTAAAACAAGCCCTTGAACCTATGGTGTAAAGGTCGCAACTTTTGTATGCAATTGCTTCGCCCAGAAACAACAAATGGTTAGAGTTGACCTTGAAATGGACTAGAAAAAAATCATAAATCACCCAGAGCCTCGATGCAGCCTGGAAACACGAATTCGAGGTACGGAAGGCTGCGGAGCAAAAAATCCTTAAAAACAAAAACGACTGTTTGGCCCGGGTTCGAACCACGGCCTACCAAACTTATGTAAGATCACGTAATAAGAGAGCACTTCATACACGACCCCGCGGTAACTAACAGACTCTATACAGCGAGGTACGAGCGTTCGTATAGAGCGTCTGTCTACGAGAGACTACTTGTGACCACAGCTACAGTATTTGTGTGGCCACAATCGTTCTGAATAATGTTCCTGGGATTTTTTGACCTGACTCCGGCGGGCAAGCCGCATGAATGTCGCTGGGATCCGCACAATCCAGTGCCTAGATGCGGCTAGATCTCCGGACAGTAACCTTCTTTTTCTTTTAACGTGGCTCGGGGATCCCTCACTAGGGACGCGATGGGCTTCTCGCTCTCTCCAGACTCCGGCACGCTTTGCCTTCCCTCCGTGGCCACCTTGTGCTTCCCCAAGGCTGTGTCTGCACCAACAACAATTAAGGTTTGTGGACACAACAAGAACCACATCAAGCGATCAGCTGATTCACCGAGACTCGAGAGCACGGCTATGGTGCGATGTGTTGGCCATGCGTGCTTCAATGATTGTATCAGCCGGCTAATACCTGATCTTGTTTAGGTTTACAAGCCCGCCATAGCAGATCGACCACTCTTCGTTGTCAATGTGTCATTTTTGATACCGCATTAATGATGCGTTCAAGTCAGACTTTTTTCTCTATGCGTACTCGAAAATAGACTCAGATAATTCGAGGTCTTTTGCCCATTGTATTATGATGTCATTTCTTGGGCGAGGCCTCTATGCGAACAGTGTCTCAAGTAGGCTTGCATCAATTCAAGGCTGCCTTGATATTTTCCCGGCCGAGATGAGGCTATTTCCCATCGATTTTCATAGCTTATCATATAGCTCCCCATAACTGAGTATAGCTGCAGGACATTCTCATAGACCATCCATCATAGCCCCCCATAGCCGAAAGGCCGGCTATGGGGCAACTTTGGATTTTCCTGATGCAATTTGGTTGCAGTCCTGCTGCACTGATTCGTTTCATGGCGGTGCCATGAAAAGTAACTTATGAAAATTAACTTACCCAGCGAAATTTTACTTTACTTTACTTATGGCGGGGTAAGTTAATTTCCCAAGTAAAGTAAAGTAAAATTACAAGTAAAGTATATTCAAGTATAGTTAAGTTAGATCAAGTAAAGGAATGTTCAATTAAGTTCGACACATCTTAGTCGGATTTTCCACGAGAGCCTGTGGTTTTGAGCCGCTTTGGATGCTCCCGCGGCCTACGGCACCAGCCTCATAAAATGTCTGTATGTACTACTGAGCCGGTAGACACTGTGAAGGTGATCTCATCCAGACCGGCAGATACTCTCAGCAAGTCCAAGTAAATGCAAAGCACACAACTTGGTCGTGCGAACTTGGCGTGAACTTATTGTCCGGCTGTCAGCGTGCATTTGAATATGCCAGTACATCAAGCTTCTTAATTCCGCACACCTCGTTCACAGTCTTTCCTCATGATCTTCTGTTCCCAGGCTCTGCGTTGCGACCTGTATCGAGTTGTCTATTTCTTGCCCGCAATGCAGCATTTGCTTCCGTCTAGCCGTCGCCCACGTGATTTTCTCGATCTATCGGTGTTTTTCACTTCGACTTTGCCCCGACTTGCATTCCGCTGGCTACGATACTGAGCGCACTCTGGCAACTCATGTTTGGCCCCAAGACATCTAAGGATAGACACGGGTCGGTATTTAAAGAGACGGAACTTTCGGCCAAAAAATGGCGTAGCGTTGTGTGCAAGTCATGTGCGGATTTTGACAATTCTCGGTTGACAAGAGCACTTAGAGGCCCCGGAAAGCTCACCTAAGGGTAACTCCGGAAAAATCGTCGAAATTTGCCTCAAATCCCCTAACTTTTTGAGGTTTTCTAGGCTCAAATCCCCTATGGGGTCCCATGAATAAATTTCGAACCATCATGTTTAATCCGGATAAATGTGAGTACACCTGTCTGCCTAAAAGGCTTATCAAACTACTACAGGAATATTATCCCTGGAATTCTTCTATAAATTAACACAGATTGATGGATTGATGGATTGCTCCCTCGGCATAGGCCTAGGTCTAGCATACGCAAAGTTCAACAGAAATACTTCGGAGGGCTATGAAGTGAACGGTAATATTAACTGCTCTCGTTGGGAATCGAACCGTTGACCACTTGCCAGAAATAATCCATCCGAGTCCTTCCGGCAAACCGTAGTCAGTATCTGAGTTTTGACTGAGATTATAGACGAACTCTTTTGAGATCGCTGCAATGCGGACAGTTGATCG